CCCCCCCCTTTCTGGAGGCGTCTCCCGACCACACCCCGGGTTCGGCGCGAGGCCCGCGACGATTCCGTGGCTGCTTCCACGGCTGCTTGCATCGCTTCCTCTGTTACCACCTGCAGCACGTACTGCACCTGTTTGCCGCGTAGGCGGGAGTAGCTGTTGTCCCAGCAGAAGGAGCAGACGCCCCCCAAGGACTCCGCTGGCACCGAGTAGCATCCCTGGACATCCTCGGCCCGTCCCGCCTCTGCGTCGGGGCTGAGAGGCGCGGGCACAGCACTTCCTGCCTGAGGAAAACGGCCCTCCACGACGATTTCCACGGGTAAGGGAGTCAGATCCTCGGTTGGGGAGGTGTCAGCGGTGCCGGCATGGGGGCGAAAAGTGCCCTTGAAGGAGATGTCTAGACCGTCCCCGACAGAGAAGCGCCACAAGACGGTCGACCCGGCGGAAACTTCCACGTCTTCTTCATGCTTGGCCCGTCGAGGAACGTACAAAGACGTAGGAGCGCAGGGTTGCAATAAGAAGTCCACGGCGCTTTCAGGGGCCAGGCCGGAGGTCTCCGCACCCCCAGCGCCGTCGTGGTCGTTGAGGAGAGAGAGGAACTGGCGGGAAGCAGTCACGTCCGGGATGGCCATGAGGTCGTACAGGTACGTGGTCAACGCTTCAGCCATTTGGGCGTCCGTTGATCCCTCCATATATTGTGGCAAAGCTGGCAAGGTGACATCCTTCTATTGTGTGAGGGGAGCGGGCTAAGCATGTGCACCCTTTCAGGCGTCTTTACGCGACATAATTCAAATCCATCGTCCGTCAGAAATGTGATACGCACCTTGCTGCTTGTAATCAAATTATCCAAGGCCAAATGCAGCGCCCGAAACTCTTGATAGTCCCGACGGAGTATAATTGTGTGACTCTTGCTCCCCGCCTCCGCCAGGGCCAGTTCCACATCGAACATGGCCGGGCAAAGACTTTGGATGCAGAGGCGGTCACTCAGACTAGATTCTGAGTCCCTTCGTGGCTGTCTCAGCAAGGAAGAGAAAAGGAAGAGAAAAGGAAGGGGAGGAGTCAAGAATGGCTTTCAGGTGCCTCTTTTTCAAATGTCAGTATACGCGTTCGTTGCCTCGACCTCCCGTCCCCGCAAGAGATGTGATGAGCAAAAGCAAAACAAACGAGACCCAAAGTGTCTTAAAAAATACGTGTCTTAAAAAATACTTCAGTCGTGTAATTTTGGTTTTATCAGCGTCATCTCTGTATTTGCTTTAGCCACTAAGCTCGACCATGCCGTGTTTTTTCTTGCCCGCTGACAGCATTATTTCCGGTTTGTCAAAGCTGTCCACAGTCACCACAAAAGTCTCTTCTTTGATTTGCTCTCCGTTTAAGCGCGCCCCTCCTCCTTTGATAAGTCGTCGAGCCTCTGCCTTCGATTTCGCGAGGTCAAGGCGCACAAAAAGCTCAGCAACTTGGACGCCTGCATCTCCCAGCTCAGATTTTGTTACGACCACGCGCGGCAAAGCTGCGGTGTCTTCCGTGCTGCCCCCCGCAAAAAGGTTGGCCACAGTCGCGTGAATCTCCTTCAGACACTCCTCGCCATGTAAAAGTTTAGTGGCTTCGTCTGCCAGTATGACCTTTGCTTCATTTATGCCCGCCCCCTCCAAGCGGGCCAGCTCCTCGATCTTCTCCAGAGGCACCTCAGTAAAGAGCTTCAAAAATCGTGTCACGTCCGCGTCATTCGTGTTCCGCCAAAATTGCCAGTAGTCATACTCCGAAAGCAGCTCCTTCTTCAACCAGACCGCGCCCGAGGCTGTCTTGCCCATTTTCTTCCCGTCGGACGTGGTCATGAGGGGGGCTGTCAACCCGAAGAGGTGTCGCCCATCCACCTTACGCGCCAGCTCCACCCCGTTGATGATGTTGCCCCACTGGTCCGATCCCCCCAACTGCAGGCGGGCTTGGTATCTGCGTGAGAGCTCCAAGAAGTCGTAGGCCTGTAAAATCATGTAGTTGAACTCGAGAAAGGACAAGGGAGACTCTCGATCGAGGCGCATCTTTACACTCTCGAAGTTGAGCATCCGGTTGATGGTGAAGTGCTGGCCGTAGTCTCTCAAAAAGTCCAGGTACCGCAGGGGCGACAACCACTCGTCATTGTTGACGAGGAGCGCGTCCGTGGCACCGTCTCCGAAGGCAAGGAAGCGCCGGAATACCTCGGAAATGGAGGCGATATTCCCCTGGATGGTCTCGTAGGTCATCAGTTTTCGCGCTTCATCCTTTCCCGACGGATCCCCCACCTTCGTGGTCCCTCCTCCCATTAGCACCAAGGGCTTGTGTCCTGACTTCTGCAGGTGTCGCAAAATCATTATTTGCAGCAAGCTCCCAACGTGCAGGCTCGGGGCTGTGGCGTCGAAGCCTAAATACGCCGCAATGGGCTTACCGGCCGCGCAGGCCTCGTCCAAAGCTTTGAAGTCGGTGCACTGATGGATATACCCACGCGCACTAAGTGTTTGAAGGAAGCTCGATTCAAAATCGGTAGGTATAGCTTGGTTGGCAGAAGCCGTCGCGGGCTCGGCATTGCTAGATAGGGCGGTTAGTCGGGAACGTTGAGGTGAGCGGAGGTTGATACGGTGCGACACAATAGGCCTTTGAAGAGAAAGACGGGCCGCGAATGCGCAGAGGGGTGTCGAGGACTGCTGAATCGTGGAGGCTTTACTCCCTATCGCGAGGAAAACCATGACCCCACAGATGAAGAAAAGAGAGTCCTTAAGTCTTCGTTTTGCGCGATGTCGGCTTGAGACCCGTGGTGACTCTACTATTTTGCTAAACGGCACCGCTCTTGAAATTTTTGATTGAGAATGCTGTCTACGTAAGGTTCTTAAACTCTTCTCTTTCTCCATGTACTCCTTTGTCGTCTCTGTGTATGCCTGTAGTATAAACACATTTGTAAAAATGATGACGTATTGGTATCTTCAGCTGAAGCGTCCGTTCAGGCATCAGGGTGCCGCCAGTCCACCTTTCAAGCTTAAGCCTCAGGATGCGCTGCCTGTCACTTCAAGACTTCATTCTATGCCCATGGAGTACACTTTGTAACTGGGTTTGCACAAGCCATTGCTTCGAGGTCATCGTTCTCCGCGTGGTATACGATCGCCGTTACAACCTCCCCATCGGTTCCGAGAGCTCACCGAGCTTTTTACATTCCCCAAGAACAAAACCACATTTTTAAAAAATCAGAAACCTGGGTGTTCGTCAAATTGATGTTAATCTTCTTTCCATTCACGCCCTTTGCTCTTCTGTCCGATGTGAGAAAACGCTTGTCTCAGTCGGCTGTTGATGTCAATTGAAAGCCACACATCTACAACCTGACACCGTCGCAAAAACTCGTTAGGACATCACGATCATCTGGAAAAACACCTTTGCGACTTTGTCTCTCTTGCTCGTTCATTACGCTAGATCATTTTTTGAACAAGGACTGCAGCTCGTTCAAAATGCTGGATATCTCCTTGTCGTTGGCGTATTTGCTAATATTTCCTGGGTTCGCCATAACGTCCTGCAGGGCAGCCATCACTTTCGGGTTCCGTTGCGCGCGCTGGAAGGCGGCCTGGGCCCTCGGGTTGGACATGATGGACGCGAGCATGCTCGGGTCCACGCCTCCCATTCCCGGCATACCGCCGAACCCACCCCCACCAAACGGACTCCCTCTTGCCCCGCCTGCTCCACCTGCTTGCCTAAAAAATGCATCCGCAAAGCCTCCACCACTGCCCGATGCCGCGCCTCCTCCACGGGGATTGAACATATCTGAAAACGGATCTCCTCCCCCTGCCCCTGCCCCTGCCCCTGCACCTGCTCTCCCCCCGGTCCGCCCTCCCTCTCCACCACCTTCTCGAGGCATCCGCTTAACCTCCACGAATCGGTACTGGCTTGGGTCTTCGTCCGGGTCCACGTTCTCTCCCCTGCTAGTGGTGGAGGGCGGGTTGAGACGGGCCCGCGCTAGAGCCTCCGCGAACTCTCGCTTCTCGAAGAAACTGGAGTGAGGTATCTTGAGGAGGTCCAGCTCCTTCTTGATTTCTGATATCTGAAGGAGTAGCGATTCCATAAAAGAGGGGATGCAAAAGATGAGGCCATCGATACGGCACGAAAAGTGTCCCTCCCGCCTTGCTCACGAAGCAATCGCACTGAACGAGAATAACTTACCTTCAATTTCATCACTTCAGCCAACACCTCACTGTGACGCGTCGCTTCACTCCGGCCCTTCCCACG